CTTAGCAAACACATAAACGGCCATTGATATATATATATATATATATATATATATATACAAAAGCAAAGCAACAAAGTCCCACTGAATAATCGCCAACATGTCACTCTTATTCGAACGTTTAATGAAATTTCAGGACCAATCACGGTGAGTAGAGATCACTGAAATGCGCCTGAGGACATTAGCGCGTCCTCCAATGGCACACGGATGGTGTCGCCTCAACTGATGAAGAAACTTTTGCAAACTTACTAGAAAACGTATCAACGATCAAACTCACTGTATGTTGAGTGTTTCGTACGGACTGACCGCTTGCCAAATGACGCCAATGGAGATCCCACACACTGGTGAAAAAAGGATTGGCGGGAAAAAGATAGACTTTTTGACGTTTATTCAGCACTTGGGCTGGATATCGGTTTGCAAAAGTACTCCGTGTAACAGTCATCCACAAGCCAATTTGATAACAATTTTGTTCGATTCATCCATGAAAATTATTTCAGTTACCAACAGGTCTAGATTTCATATGTAGAAAATTTGTAAATAAATTATCTCGGTGAACACGATGAGCATTCTTAGTTCGCAATGTTATCTTCAAAAACAGCCTGAAGACACGTCTCTAGCCGGGTCATGACTAGTGCACGGAGTCGTATCTCTGATGCGGTTGGGATCGTGAATCTTCACAGTCCTGTAGACGCGTCATCCACAAAGTCATTTGGATTGGTCATCCGGATAGGACTGGTGAGGCTAGGTCCACACTTGACACGTGTTCTGGTGTAAGTCACTTCTTCATGAACGGTTTACCATGTTTCGTCCTTGAGATGACTCTTGGAGTGGGTACATGTAAACCAGTTTGGACCTATTTGAATGACTGACCGATTCCGGAATCACCTAGGACAAGACTTCCGAGGTACGTACGGTGTGTGTAGTTCGGATAAATTGATGGGAAAATATACCACATAAGATGATAACGCCATTAGTTGGTTCGTAATGACAACTTCTTTGAAGCTGACCGTATGTTGGTAATTGTCAATTGACCGCTGCCCCCTTCATCCTTTTGCTGGGGGCGAGATGACCCAAGTGGTTAGAGGGCGAATTTACTGACCGGAAAGCCCGTGGTTCGGACCCGACCACTACCTCTCGACTTTCCCTGTTTGGGCGCGGACAACCTGGCAGTATCTCAGCCCTCGTGCAACCTTCGGGTGGAATGGTAGTTAGGCACCTAAAAGATGCTATAAATGGACGTTTTCCCATCCTTGTGCTTTCCGTTATTTCACTTCTGAAGGTCACCCAATATAATCGACACTTTAAACATTAAACGTGTAATTGGTGTTGTGTCATTCCATCTATAATTCTACCTTTTAAAACAAGTGATAAGCGAAATACGCTCATCTGCAAACCAATTTGGCTCTGAGAAAGACTCACCTGACCCCGAGCTTAATCCCTTGTTTATGATGCTTTCAAGCAACTCAATGTGCTTCACCAGGGCACATCAAGTTTCAGATGGTAGGATATTCGAGATATCGCAATAAATTTACCGACGTAATACAGGCGAGCTCCCGCAGAATCACATTGGTTTGCAAATGAGTATAATTGGCTAATTACACGCAACTGGGGTTCAAGTAGAACATGAGGTTAACGTAAACTCAGGGATTGCGTCTATTTGAAGATCCTCAAGAACGGCAAAACCGGTCAAGGACAGTCGAAGAATTTCCATCAACTTATGAGTAGTGTATTACGATTACGTGTTAAGTTTTCATGCAGATTTTCTCGCGTTTTGATGAGGTTTGCATAAGACGAACGCTGAAAACCCGTAGACACTCCACTACCGAATCTGTTCTACTTTGGACTCAGCAGGTAAATGTGGTCCGCGGAAGCTGAGATAGTCAAACCTTGAGTTTAACAGAGGCTGAGTAGAATGTTTTACTTTCAAAAACTCATGTCGAGGCAAAAAAGGATTTTACTAAATACCTTTGAAACGGAACCTCGAGATGCAAGCAAACCCGTAGAATAGTGACTCCAAGAGAACCTACCGAGTTTCCAGTCCGAGCAACTTCATCACGCATGTGAGCTACAGTAGAGCTACTGATCCGTCAGCGGTAAACTAGGAGTTGACCTATACATCATTGACTAGAAGTCACTATGAAGCAAGACAGTAAAATGAAGTGAGATTGCACCGGACATAGCTGGTTCAGGAAATTCTGGGCCTAAACGTTCAAGGGTTCCGGTCTGCCTTTTTTGATCTGTTACAAGAACACTGGAAGTGCATCTGCCTGATCCAAAAAGTGCGACCAAGCGAACAAACGTTTTCGACAACACTTTCCCACGCTTATTTGGCAGTTAGATGTTCATGACTCTATGCGGGCAGGTGCATGGCCCTAACAATGTGCTATTTGCAGGATTCAAACAGAAAGCCGCGTTTATTGATTAGTGTGCCGCAGGCACAAATTTGTGGACCACATACACAACTCAGTTTTTGCGTTTATGAAAAGTTCGATTCACAGATCAAGGAGCAGTTTTCTCTACTGCTTCCATGTGTATCGAAGACCAGCATTACTGTGCTCAAGATGCCGCAGGACAAAGGATACCGAATTCTTGTCATTTGTGTACTGTACGTAGTTCGTACAGTTGACAGACAGGAATTGGCTGTCTACTTTTGAAGATTGCATAGAGCTATGAATTCTTATTTCTGGTTACACGGCCTAACATATGAAAAGGAGAGAGAAATACGACTGGACAGTGATCACGGCAATTATGTAATGCCACAGACCACACACGGTATATTCACGAATTCTCGTACAGTGCGACTCGGAGGAAGGCACGGTCAGCAAGCTTCTACTTCGCACAGCATCACAATAGTTTGGCCATATTTTCTATCGTCGTACTTTCCCATACGATTACTGAAACGATGCGGTCTATCTCAACCAAAATGACGCAGAAAGGTTCTGGTAACTTGCTGACAGCATGCACAAGATTGAATTTTTTAAAATTATCTACAGATGTGGTGTTTTTTTGAAACCCTTTTGGCGGTACGCACGCCTGTGTGCTCCACTCGAGACAAGGTAAGCTTTCTAAAGAGGTAGGTTAATACGGATTGTTCGGATATGACCCAACAGCACATCTACTGGACGGTTGTATCGCGATTCGGTTACGTGGCGAGCGAAGGCATACCCTCCTGATTGGTCAGATTGTCTGCCAATCGGAAACGAGCGTATATGCATCGACGCTTCTTGCCCCTGTGTAGATCGCCCCGTGGTGACCGTCTGGATGGTTGCGATGAGTTTTCTTTGTCTCCATAGGGGACTGTCTCAAGTCATCGAGGCTTTTGAGAAAACAGTGACAGAACGGCAACCAGAAGCGTCAACAGGACACAACACAAATTCACAGGAAAGTCGAAAGAGCGGGAACAGCTTGGCAGAAAACGTTACGGGAAATTGTAGGCCCCCATGACCGACTTGGTTCGTTGCAATCTCTTGATCTGTATGCTTTCCAGTCGAGACAAGCCCACTGGTACTAGAATGCGAGACACAAGTACACTGAATGGGGACCAGCCTGTGGGCAGCTTCGAACTACCGACCTCCAGTTTACCGGAAGCGCTCAGTCGGTTGAGCTACCAAGGGTAACAGAACAACGTCTCACTTTGCATGCTGGGCTCTTCCAACCTCCAACTGATGGGTCAACTTCTGGTATCTGTCTCTCTGACTAGCTAGGTTCTTGTGTGAATTCCACAGTAGCACGGTCGTTAATATCTTCCAGCCAGCCGAACGGCGTTGATGTCAGCAATTTGGAACAAACAACTTTTAAATTGTCACCAATCCAAAAAGTGTTACGTACACAGACTAGTGTTCATTTTTTAATCGACCAGATAACTCACAGTAAATAATCACTTCAATCTGACCAAGAAGACGCACCGGTTGATGTGTGCGAAGCAGAAGAAACATGGCCGCTGCCTGACCTACATTCATCAACTCGAAATTGAAGAAAGCCGTGATTTGTGCATATCCCAAATACTGAAAAAGTATGGAGGAACACAGACAAGCGAGTAATCAGTTCATTGGAGATGTGTAGGTCCTTAAGTCACAGCAAGAATTACAAACATACCTAATCACTTACTTTTGATTGTTGATGACAGTTTGATAAACGTTTCAGAAGGCAAATCTGAACAGCCCAAGTGGATAATGGAGTACTTATCTTTTATTCTACACAGTGCACGGCAACCTGCTACCTTTAGCGACCATCTTTCTGAAGCAGTTGCTTTCACCTGGTTGCGTAAAGTCCTTGTTATGCTACTGACAGGGTGAGTTGATAGCTTTTAGGTAGCAATATCTGAGGCGGCGTCATCCTCACCAACTACTGATAAGTCAATGTAATACAGTAGTCCTATCAGGTGTCTTTTCATTTACAGACAAACGCATCCTACAACATTTACCCATCAAAACCAACTGTTTCCAACCGGTTCCTTTGGGGTTTTGTACTTCGCTGCTCGGGATCATTGCTTGGGATCATGGGACAGTTGGTCGAACTTAGTTGTTCGGTTGAAGACCAGCCCCGGTTAGCTGCACGTATATCAAAACACATGAAACACTACTCAACACGCGACCTCCGACCCACCGCTACACTCCACTGCGCTGCCTAACAATACACTGATGATATCACCGTTTACTTCCCAGCTCAGGAGGTCAGCAAGCTTCTACTTCGCACAGCATCACAATAGTTTGGCCATATTTTCTATCGTCGTACTTTCCCATACGATTACTGAAACGATGCGGTCTATCTCAACCAAAATGACGCAGAAAGGTTCTGGTAACTTGCTGACAGCATGCACAAGATTGAATTTTTAAAATTATCTACAGATGTGGTGTTTTTTTGAAACCCTTTTGGCAGTACGCACGCCTGTGTGCTCCATTCGAGACAAGGTAAGCTTTCTAAAGAGGTAGGTTAATACGGATTGTTCGGATATGACCCAACAGCACATCTACTGGACGGTTGTATCGCGATTCGGTTACGTGGCGAGCGAAGGCATACCCTCCTGATTGGTCAGATTGTCTGCCAATCGGAAACGAGCGTATATGCATCGACGCTTCTTGCCCCTGTGTAGATCGCTCCGTGGTGACCGTATGGATGGTTGCGATGATTTTTCTTTGTCTCCATGGGAGACTGTCTCAAGTCACCGAGGCTTTTGAGAAAACAGTGACAGAACGGCAACCAGAAGCGTCAACAGGACACAACACAAATTCACAGGAAAGTCGAAAGAGCGGGAACAGCTTGGCAGAAAACGTTACGGGAAATTGTAGGCCCCCATGACCGACTTGGTTCGTTGCAATCTCTTGATCTGTATGCTTTCCAGTCGAGACAAGCCCACTGGTACTAGAATGCGAGACACAAGTACACTGAATGGGGACCAGCCTGTGGGCAGCTTCGAACTACCGACCTCCAGTTTACCGGAAGCGCTCAGTCGGTTGAGCTACCAAGGGTAACAGAACAACGTCTCACTTTGCATGCTGGGCTCTTCCAACCTCCAACTGATGGGTCAACTTCTGGTATCTGTCTCTCTGACTAGCTAGGTTCTTGTGTGAATTCCACAGTAGCACGGTCGTTAATATCTTCCAGCCAGCCGAACGGCGTTGATGTCAGCAATTTGGAACAAACAACTTTTAAATTGTCACCAATCCAAAAAGTGTTACGTACACAGACTAGTGTTCATTTTTTAATCGACCAGATAACTCACAGTAAATAATCACTTCAATCTGACCAAGAAGACGCACCGGTTGATGTGTGCGAAGCAGAAGAAACATGGCCGCTGCCTGACCTACATTCATCAACTCGACATTGAAGAAAGCCGTGATTTGTGCATATCCCAAATACTGAAAAAGTATGGAGGAACACAGACAAGCGAGTAATCAGTTCATTGGAGATGTGTAGGTCCTTAAGTCACAGCAAGAATTACAAACATACCTAATCACTTACTTTTGATTGTTGATGACAGTTTGATAAACGTTTCAGAAGGCAAATCTGAACAGCCCAAGTGGATAATGGAGTACTTATCTTTTATTCTACACAGTGCACGGCAACCTGCTACCTTTAGCGACCATCTTTCTGAAGCAGTTGCTTTCACCTGGTTGCGTAAAGTCCTTGTTATGCTACTGACAGGGTGAGTTGATAGCTTTTAGGTAGCAATATCTGAGGCGGCGTCATCCTCACCAACTACTGATAAGTCAATGTAATACAGTAGTCCTATCAGGTGTCTTTTAATTTACAGACAAACGCATCCTACAACATTTACCCATCAAAACCAACTGTTTCGGTTCGGTTCCTTTGGGGTTTTGTACTTCGCTGCTCGGGATCATTGCTTGGGATCATGGGACAGTTGGTCGAACTTAGTTGTTCGAGACCAGCCCAGTGGTTGGTTTACCAAAGAACATTCGTTTTCCCTTATTTGAACTGCAATGTTGAAGGGGCAGCTGATGAGCTCGGTGTCAAAGGCAGGAGGTTACTTGGGTATACTACTCACAAAATCTTGTCTAAAACATCTCATGGGGAAAGGGTGGTTTACCAAAGAACATTCGTTTTCCCTTATTTGAACTGCAATGTTGAAGGGGCAGCTGATGAGCTCGGTGTCAAAGGCATCCAGGAGGTTACTAACTCCGCTGAACGCTAGACCCAAGCCGGAGGTATTCAGTCATTTGAGATGGACAATCAGTTAGGTTGTCTTCTCAACGCCGTTTATTGTGGCCAAGCCTTTGTCCCTACTGGTTGCGTTACAGAACATTACGCTACACCTTGGAGACTCTCAGTGTTTCATTTATAGACTCGAGGTTTTGTGCCAAACTGAGGGCTCCGCAGTAGTCCTAATCTTCTGCCACCGTTGAAATTCATAAACAAACATACAAAAATAGGCACCTATGATTCAAGTGGCACGTGCATGTATGTGTTCAGGAACCCTTCCAGCTTTCTACGGTTTTCGTTTAGTTTGCTTTGGAAGAAAACGTGATCAATAGGCTTAAAGATTGATGAAGCTCATTGGCTTCTCATTTCACCTGTTCATAGTACTACTGTGGAAGTCTTAAGATCGTACATTTTGACCAGATGGAC